GTGTCTATAGTGACATGTCGGCTATATGTGGCTAATCGTACATCCAGATTTTTGTCGGTTTTATAGCGCTAGTCCACTTACATACCATGCCGCAGTTTAACATGAATATCCCACTCAGACACAGTACATGTATACTGACTCCGAGCAGACCAGAGCCCAGCAGGGAAACAAGTACCAACTTAATGTGTTTTGGTATGACGCGACCAGGGGATCGAACCACAGGCCTTCCATTCTCCATGCAGGTGTGGTCTTAAGCAGATGGGATATTTTGAACATTTTCATGATTTTTATTACTGTTCAATAGGATGTTCTTCATGTTCTGTCTGCCTATATCAATACCTCATTTGAAAAATATCTTAAGACATTTTGGATGACAATCACCATGATCAGTCAATGTCCAAGAGAATTACCAGATCTAAAAAAAAATAATAATCTTTATTGGTTCAAATTACTGGACGTGCTCATCTGTAGGGGGAAATATAATTGGGTGTCAAAATTACATATCCTGATGTGTAAATTGGGATTTGGTCATTTGGAGTACTCAAGGTATAGCTCATGTACAACTTTTTCTGTCAGAATTCATGCCATGTCTGAAAGCATCCTTCAAGCAAGGCTGGCATGGTTCAATTTCTATAGCTGCTCTAAAACATACAGTTGTTTCAAATATGTATTTGGTTTTGAAAATGATATTAATGTAATCTTTATGCCAATCACTGGATTGATGACCATCGTCATAGGATTGAGACATTTCTGAGTGTGGTGTTAAACAACCATCATGTAAAGAGACACTCAGAGCTATTACTTTTCTTTCACATATGCTGACAGTGATGGGTAAAGGGTTGTTGCCTTTCAAAGTGACTGTCCTTTCGTGCTTAGCAAAGGTCTTTACTTTCACATGATACAGATTGTGGTACACTGGTAAACAAGGTACATAAAGCCCAAAACAGTTAAAAAATGACATTAATTGACACCAAATTTTACTTCATCAAAATAAAGAAATATTGCACTGATTGTAAATAAAGCATATCTGACTTCTGAAGTCAAAATGTAACTGTGCCTCGTCCTTATTCTGTTACACTGTGACATGTAAGATAAGTTTGTGCTTCTCGGTGCACTAAAACCACAGATCTGTTTTCAGCCAAAAACATTCTGCAAAATGCTATTGAAACAAGGACAATGATTTCTACAGACAGTGGCAATTATCACATATGTAAATTTAAAGAATTCGTCCCATCATTGATTGCACTGCTGCACACATTCCGAAAAACCATTTACAGTGAAAACTCTAGGTTTGGACATTTAATGATTGCTCAACACAAGAAAATGGAGATTCCATAAATTATCAAACAATGACACTTACCACGCTGAGGGTGCAATTTTGAGCAAAAAGTTATGATATCCATAGACCTAGTCATGCAAGTTGACTACACTCAACTACATGTAGAAAGGAAATGTTGAATTCATGACCACTTCCAACTTGTAGACACAATTTACTGTGAATTCGTAGACAAACGGGACTGAATTTGTAGACACATTTTTTATACTGGAATTGAATGATAATAATTACTATTTTATTTAATTATTATTTTGTTATGATAGGATTTGCAGGATTCATAGTAACTACTATTGTAAATAAATCATCAGGTAACTACATCCAAGCCGAGGACAATTTATGAGTGGGGTGGATTATCATATTTCTATTTTATTTACAGGCAAGTATATCCAAGAAGGAAAGTTGAGCATTGTTGAGGGGAGTATTGGATTACCCATAGATCCAAGCCAGACATGCAGACATGTGAGGCGATTAGGGCTTCAGCATCTATAGTATCTCTATAAAAGATGACTGGCAGCTAGAACTTGCATGTCACACCAGAACTCATGTCACACCAGGTCATAATACAGCAAATATTTATTTTCATTTAATTTTTAAGATTTGTAATACGTACATTTAATACATAATGTATATATCATCGGTAAAAATTCATTATTCAGTTCTTATATTTGTCTATGAGTTCACAGTGAACTTTGTGTATGAGTTGGGAGTGGCTACGAACTGGTTTGGTTACAAATTCACCTACAGCCAACTACATGAACTAAAAGGCCTAGACTTTAATATATCTGATTCCTAAAAACATGATAAAATTATATTTAGGAATCACATATCATGTGTATGGTCTGATGGCAAAATGTGCTGGTTTAAATCTTACATTGTGATGTTCATATTTTGTAATCAATTACAAAACAATTCATTAGATCCTGTAGATAACAAACATGTTGAGAGTAGGCTAGCCTAATAGGCTGATCTCTGAACTGAGGCTACACTCATAGTTACGTTTAGTTTGGAACATTTCCAGATACTAAACATGCCCAAAACACTCCAATAATCACGATGATAAGCCCACATCTAGGATACCTGCAGATCAATCAGGCATAATCTCGGATATAGGATTAAGTAAAGCCGGTGTATAAACAATGTTTACAAAACACGCACCTGCTCAATGGATTGCCCGACTCGAACATGTGAGGTTTTTTTCCCCAATTCAAATGACACATCGACGGTGCATATTTGCTATCATTCAGTTATCACTGTGCGAATGCAATCAGGAGTCCCTATGACTTATCTGTCACCAGACACAAACACATTCGCGTGATTCAAGTGTGATTATGTGGTCTAAAACTGCGAGGGTATTTACAGTCTGTGGGTTGGATCGATGTGTATGAACGTGGTAAAAATACTGTGCATGACCACAATGGTGAACTTACCTTTTATACACCACAAATTATGTCCGTGAACAATCTTTAAGCTTCACGAATACGACTTGTAATTCACAGACACAACAAACACTACGCAATTACGTAAACACCGTCTCCAATCATCTTGACGCCAGGCCAAGTAGTATCATCCTGTCCACCATTTTGAAATATTACCCGATGACCCTTGTTATTGTATTCATACGCTGATTCAATTCAAATGTCTTACACAAGGTTTCGAAAATGAAATCGATTTCGTTTCAGATAACAAAGACATATCTATCATAAACATTTATAGCTTACCTTTTAGCACAATGCTACTTAGAACATATTTTGAGGAGAAATGCCAGACACCTAAAGAACTACTTTGGGTTTTGGTGATACGTTTTAGTAACAAATGTTTGTAAACACTTCTAGAAGGTTCAACATACATCATGATGCTCATGGCAAATCACATATTATGCCAACTGCGACGCCCTTCTAGATAATAGCGCGAAGTAAGAAAACTGTCAACACCATTTGTTTCAGTCGTATGTAAATACTTTGCCATGAAAACAGAGGGTCAATCGTCCAAACGCAACCACTGTGAATATTTTACGTAGCTTCATTCACTGTACAACACTACTCCAAGGCGCAGTTCTATTGGTTTTGTTTAACGTGTATTTCATTTTCATACGTTTTGCAACAGTGGTATTAAATCTGTAAGACTTACCAATTACTTCATTAATTAACTGTCTTCAGTTGATACCATTAAGACTTAGCTTGATAAAGGTGTATTAATTTTATACATAATACCATACATTTTGCAATAACGGTGTTAAATCTGTAAGACTTAGAATATATACTTGATTGACTTTTGATGGCTGAATATTGCTGCATGAGTGCGGCGTTAAACAACAAACAACAAACAACAAACAAACAATCAACATAAAACGAAACTGAACACATTCTTGATTTATGTACACAATCACACCCTCGTCAGCCTTACTTATTCTCTTCTCAGTGTTCTCAGTGTGTTCACGACCTTACAATTAAAAAACAAACACGTAACATGCCTACTCAGAAATATGAATTAGGTGAATATTACAACACAAAACACACCTGATGTTGCAACCTTCGCTATCGTTTCCCAGGGTAAAAATGTAACGCTAGCCCACTTGATTGTGGCTATCAACATTTTAAAAGGTCTTGACCGGGTTCTACTTACCGACAAAACGCATTTATATCTAGAGGTAGCTTTTCTGCCGGCCGTGTAATGCGCCGCAATTCGTTGTGCAGAGTTGAGTCCCCAAGGCGTGCCTGTGATCGTGGGTTCTAATCCCGGTTCACACTGATTATGACTTTAGGTTTGTAATTAAGCACGATATCCGTGCTCTTGGGTTTCGAGACGAAAGTAATAAACGTCTGAGACCAGCGTCATCCAAAGCTTTCCTCCAACATCACCCCGACATGCCGTGATATAACTCAAATAATGCTTAAATCGGCGTTAAACCAAGCATATTCACTCACTCACGCGAGTGAATGATATAATGAACTGAGAAAATAATTATTATAGAACACTAACTGTGGGACCCAGCGAGAATTTATAAATTAGCCAGATCATTCAAAAGACACTTCATATGTATCTTCTTACGCAAGGTACCCTGTCTGGTGCTCGGCATTAAGGGGCTTAAACAAGGACTGGTCGGCTCGGAGTCAGTATACTGTGTCTGAGTGGGGTATTCATGTTAAACTGCGGCATGGTATCTCAGTGAGCTAGCACTATAAATCGGCATCAGTCCGGACTAGTACAAGCAGCCACAGAGACACACGTGCATGCACGTCGCTATATAAGTGCAATAATCTTGGACGCGACGTTAAACCCAATTTCACCTCACCTCACCTCTTACGCAAGGAATATATATGACATATAGATCAATCTATAAGATATTACTCATATTACATCGCAGTTAGGTACAATGCGTGGGGCCCATTTCTGGTGTCACCCGCCCTGATATCGCTGGAAAATTGCTAAAGCAGTGTAAACCATACTCACAATTAAATGCTAGTTATAAGTCCATAACAACGAAAACATATAGAATAATTCAATAATTAATTTATTGATATAACAAATTCGACTAGCAGATATCTATTATAAATACATTTCAAGATGTCACAAAATATATACACAAGGTATCAATATGTTTTAATGAAGGTGCCATTTTATAACCCTTTTGAACATAATTTGTCGAGCCCAGAGTTACCTCCCTTTGTCCACACATACACACTCCCGCCATATTCAAAACATGTCGTCTATTTTGATGGAAATCTAAACGAATAATGCACCTGTAATATTGTATGTGATGGATATTATCGACGAAGACTTTGGTGCCATTAACGAAAAGCATCAACAGGTGATTACATTTGACAAGGATCGAAGTAACATGGTGTTGAACCCCGGGCGAGATAAAATGTAAACAGGATAACAAACTCACAACTCTAAACCCTGCTAAATACACACCAGTCAGGAACTACTGTCTTTCACGTCAAATCATGCAACTTAACAGAGTTTGATCATTTCAGATTCTGGTATGGCTGGAGCAGATGTATGGTGGGGAGTCGGTGCCACAATTCGAACTCAACCAGAAGACAATCAGCATCTTGTACAAACTGATGCAAGAAAACCAGCTGCAGGACAAGAATTGCCAGCTGGTCATAGATGACCTGCGCCAGAAAGCGGCGGAGTACGGAGTGGAAGGTCTGTTGTCCCCTTGGATAAAACCTCCTACCTCTCATGTTAACCCTGCACAAAAACCTGCCCATTTCCATCCTTGATAGAAACTCAACCAATACATTTTCTGTAAACCCGAGTCGTTTAATCAATGACTTAGGACCTCTTGCACACGCTGTCAAAAAGCAGTATATATAAATTACTAAACGAGCTCCCATGTAATACCAATTTTTATAAAATGAGTGAATAGTGACTCAGCAGATACCAGAACTATTCACCGTTTCATAAAATTGGTATTACACAGGAGCTTGTTTAGTATTTTATTTATTCCTCTCAGTGATCTATTATCATGATTATCTCTACATGCATTGTCATTGAATAAGCCCAGGGATGATGAGAGTTTTCAGTGTTTGTTTGTGAACTTGTTAACGCAGTACATCAGCATGTGTTTTGGTAATACAGCTGTATGTTTATTAAACAGAGGATCTCTTTATGGGCGAGTAATAATAGTTTATATTCATTCATACTAAGTAAGTGCCCGGTCACACATTCAGGATTTTTACTGACCATTCCCGATTAAAATTTGTCAAAAGTCTGATCAAGATCCTGTGATTCGTGGCAGGAAATTCACAAATTTGTAAAAACATTTATTTAATCACGACAACAATATGATATTGTTCAGAAAGAATCCTGATTCAGCCGTTTCCAGCCAAATTCATCCCGATTCTCCCATTCTCAATCTGAATCTGATCCGATGTGTATCTTCCACATGGTAAAAAACGACCGAATCTGTTCCGACAGCATCCCGATTATCCCTAATGTGATCCGACAGAGATCAGACAGTGACTGGACAGTGAACCGATGCTGACGGAAGACATTCGTTAGTTGCGTGATAGTCTGGTCCTAAAAGAATCGTGCAAAACGGCGTATTCTCACTCCAGTCTCAGCAATTCTACAAGGAACATCGCCGTCAGTTATTGGCAGATTGGTCTCCATTTAAGTTGCATCCTTGCATCTTTATAAGGATTAAGTTACTTCACTGTGCCTGCTAAGAAGAAGCCTGTGAAAGCTGCAAGACAACCAAGGAAAAGGAAGCCTATTGCTATTTCTCCTATGCATTCATGCCCGTTCATCACGACAGCATCCTGATCCATAGGACACTGTCCAGACAACACAGGACATTGTAATGATTTTGATCCGATACAGCAGAATCTGTCACGATTGTAATCTGACTAGACAAAATCGGCTGAGTTTCCCGATTGTTACGGGAAGCACCTACTGTCGAGAGTGCTTGGCCGACCTCTCTGGACCTTTCCCAATCCGTCGAACTCTGTTACGAACGTATACGACTGCGTTCAGACAATGATAGGACATTCCAGATAATTGAGGATAGTAATCCGACTTTTTCACTTTTCGTGTCTGATCTCAAATGGGAACCATAATCGGCACTCAGTGAACGTGGCATAACATGACCAACATAATACGTACTTATATTTGTCACCTGCTAGCTGCGTCAAGATACAAAACAGAATTTTGATTCAAATTTTCACTTAGCAGTAATGAATCATTGTTTCAGCTCAGAGGCTGTCTCGGGTAGTGAAGGATGTGAACCTCAGTCAGGGATGTCTCTCCCAGTCCGGGGTGACCAGCCTCCGCACCCTCGCCAACCTTGCGCTCCTCTTGGACGTCCGAGATGCCTCCGACACAAGGTGAGCTGGGGAAGACAAACATAAGTACAGAAATCTTTTATTACACAATACATATCTCTCCTTGAAGGGGCGGTCGGGTAGCCTAGTGGTTAAAGCGTTCGCTCATCACGCCGAAGACCCAGGTTCCATTCCCGACATGGGTACAATGTGTGAAGCCCATTTCTGGTGTCCCCAGCCGTGATATTGCTGGAATATTGCTAAAAGCGGCGTAAAACCATACTCACTCACTCACTCACTCTCCTTGAATATTTTGTTTCCTGATACAGATTTCATAGCTGGCTAGAATTGTTTTTTTTATATTCTGGAATATAGTATATATTTTGGTTTAAAAAAATACAAATATTCATATATCACAGCCTCATGGGTACCAGTTCTATATGAACCTCCACTTGTTCATTTGTCTTATAGAAGGATTCATGGTCTGGCGCCCACTTCCAGTCTAGGTCTGCCTAGTCTGGTTGTGTCAAATAATGCCCTGTGTGATCATGGCTTATCTGTTGAAGTAGGGGAATATTACTAGTAATTACCTACTATTTTATACCCATCCTAAAATGTGAGTTAACAAAGTGAGATTTGAATGATTTGAACCAAAAGTGTTAGAACTGTCAGCTGAGCCTGAGAATGATCTCCCTTAACTGCTAACCAATCCTATGGAAGATGCTGCAGAGTGCCTCACAGATATTGTACAATTTATTGTCACATACAGTGATGCTGCTATTTTGCCAGGACATTCTTCTATATCACTAAAAATGTGACAAAAATGTGAAGACATTTTGGTTGACAATCAATGTACTAGAAAATCCACCAATCATATAACGCTGCACAAAACAGCCTACCGTAAACTACGATTATAACGAACACGCTTATAACGAACTGACCGATATAACGAACTTATTTTTTAGTCCCGGCCATTTGTTGCATATATGCTGTATATCTGCTTATAACGAACTACGGTTATAACGAACTAAAATTAGTGGTCCCTTTGAGTTCGTTATAACCATAGTTTACTGTATTTTCTTTGGTGAAACGATACATAGGTGCATCGTGAGTTTTTATGTGATGATACGATACAAGATATGTTTTTCTCTGTATCGAGATATTGGGTTTCACCAAAGTGGTAAACGTCTGAGACCTGCATCACTTTGTGCTTTCCTCTCACATCAAACTGACACGTAGTGATACGACTGGAATACTGTTAAAAGCGGTGTTAAACCCAACGTCAGTGAACTCATTCTTTGTACTCAGACAATGTGCTCACTCTAATGCTGTCAACCACAGGGTATCCAGGCCCAGACTGAGCTGTTGTGATAGCACTGACATGTGGCAACTCGTGTGTATCTTGGATTGTTGTAGCTACCTACTGGCACTCCAGAACCTGTCCAGTGACCTGATGAAGACAGCCGAGACGAGGAAACAGGAGGAGACATGTCTGGCAGAGTTCACACAAAAGTCAAAGGCTGCCCTGCACAAATACAATTCATTACTCAAGTATGTGTATCATGGCTCCAATAAGTGTTCAGATAATCCATGGGGCGGTCGGGTAGCCTAGTGGTTAAAGCGTTCACTCGTCACGCCGAAGACCCGGGTTCCATTCCCGACATGGGTACAATGTGGGAAGCCCATTTCTGGTGTCCCCCGCCGTGATATTGCTGGAATATTGCAAAAAGCGGCGTAAAACCAAACTCACTCACTCACTCAGATAATCCATAGTGCAAATATGATACCAGTGTTGGTTATTTATGCCCTACTGTGCAGAGTTGTGCCCCTTTGTTTGGCGTATCCACTGAATGTGTGTTAGAATCAAAACTATTGAAATCCTTGATGTGTCGGGTTTTCAAGACCGCCTCCAGGGTCTAGTGGTAGAGCGTCTACCAGGAGAGCCTGGCCACATTATACCGAAAGACGTTAAAAGATGGTACTTGTTGTTACCCTGTCTGGCGCTCGGGATTATGGGGCTAAATGAAAGACTGGTTGGTTCGGCATCAGTACACTGTGTCTTAGTGGGGTATTGATGTTAAACTGCCGCATGGTATCTCAGTGGGGTAACACTACAAAATAGGCATTAGTTCGGACTAGTTCCAGCACTGTTGTTTCAGTACTGTAGCACAGTGTTCAGAATTAAGCAGGAAAGTGGAGGGTCCCTTGTCATAACCCAAGTGTTAAAAGCTGAAGATTTAGGGAGTCCCGAGATTCAAATGCCATAAAAGGATACCTCAAGGACCCCAGGACCCCAGTATTTGTTAACATTGTTACATGTTGATAAAATCCATTATAGTTTCTTGTCGTGTGTAAATGAAACCAGATACATTACTCTTCTTACAAACACCCTGCACACATCAACGAACTGGGTACATCTATGACAAAGGCTGTGGAATTTTTCTAGAACTCTGCATCACTTGGAGGAGAAAAGTGTCACACAGCGTCCAGAGACTGAGAAGAGACGGAAGAAAGTGAGCTTCTTCGTCGACAAGGCCAAGCAGTACAAGGGTTCCATGCAGAAACTTCAGGTAGTTCCCTCTGGGTTAACTTCTTGCTTCACTATTGAGTACTTTCTTCAACAGGAGTTCGCAGCCTCCCGAATATTGGGGTCATCATGCCCCCATGGTCTGTTCTGAAGGAGGTCATGTTTGTTATTTTTGTTGTTGTTTTTTTTGTTTGTTGTTTAACGTCACTCTCAGCATTGTTCCAGCTATGTGATGGCGATCTGATCGAGTCTGGACCAGACAAGCAATTATCTTTAAGTGTCATTTCACAATCGTACTTCCCTGATGGTGTGAACTAAGAGGTATTTTCCAACCGAATATTTTGTTAACAAACCAGTACAAACTATACGACCATGGTGTGTTCAGTCTATAGTCATCCAATAGCCGGCAGAATTACCTTTGATGTTTTCATGGCGATAAATGCCATACTTGAAAACAGGCCCTCATACCTCAGATATCACACATGTTGTATCTGAAATATCACCATACTTTTGGGGCAAAGCTGATTTGTTAATCACATGAAGGCGGAGTTGGCAGATAACTGGGTCACCCTCACACAATACAATGTAACAACATCAAAAGAAGTCCGGAGCAATAGCAACATTTTAAATGCATCTGTTGTAGAAATACAATGTAGAACAATGTTGACGTAAAGAGGTACCAACATTTGTGGTCTGATTAAAAGGTTTTGGCCCTTCCATGTCAGACATTTTGAAATGATGAATTAGGTTCCACGCCAGAAAGATTTCCTGAAGATGTGCCCTTTGCACTAAGGGGCATGTTCATCAGCCATTGGATAAACCAGTTACATGATTGACACTTGATAGTGTATACAAAATATCAGCGAGCCATCGCACGACTCGCTGACAGTTCGTGTGCACAGCTTGTGTCATCATGTAACTACAACTTAGGGGCTTACAGTGTTGTCTCTACGGTATACTGACCCCTCCCTAGGTTAGTTAGTCAGTGAGTCGTGCATTCAGCGAAACCGATCAGGAGTTCACATTTGATCTGTCAAACTGGATTTGTGTTTGTTATATTTCGTTTATCCTTAATTTTAGGATTAATAATGAGATGAAGCTTGTCATTGTGTAATCCTTCTTGACCTGTCCTGCAGGTGGAACTAACCAGGGTGGGAGCTGACCCCTCACTGTACCACCAGACACTGGTGAGGAAATCTGAGGTAATGTCCCTTCATCACATCAAACTGTGACCCTCATACCATCTTCATCACGTCAGTCTGTAACCCTCATACCACCTTCATCACATCAAACTGTGACCCTCATACCACCTTCATCACGTCAGTCTGTAACCCTCATACCACCTTCATCACATCAAACTGTGACCCTCATACCACCTTCATCACGTCAGTCTGTAACCCTCATACCACCTTCATCACATCAAACTGTGACCCTCATACCACCTTCATCACGTCAAACTGTGACCCTCATACCACCTTAACATCAAACCGTGACCCCTCATACCACCTTAACATCAAATGGTGACCCCTCATACCACCTTAACATCAAATGGTGACCCCTCATACCACCTTAACATCAAACAGTGACCCCTCATACCACCTCAACATCAAACGGTGACCCCTCATACCACCCACATCACACCAAAGAGTGACCCCTCGTACCACCCACATCACACAAAACTGTGACCCCTCGTACCACCCACATCACACAAAACTGTGACCCCTCGTACCACCCACATCACACAAAACTGTGACCCCTCATACTACCCTCATCATATAAAACTTTGACCCTCATACCACCTTAACATCAAACTGTGACCCCTCATACCAACCACATCGCACCAAACAGTGACCCCTCATACCACCCACATCACACCAAACTGTGACCCCTCATACTACCCTCATCATATAAAACTTTGACCCTCATACCACCTTAACATCAAACAGTGACCCCTCATACCAACCACATCACACCAAACAGTGACCCCTCGTACCACCCACATCACACCAAACTGTGACCCCTCATACTACCCTCATCATATAAAACTTTGACCCTCATACCACCTTAACATCAAACGGTGACCCCTCGTACCACCCACATCGCATCAAACCATGACCCCTCATTGTACCACCCTCATCACACCAAACGGTGACCCCTCCTTGTACCACCACCCACATCACACCAAACGGTGACCCCTCCTTGTACCACCCACATCACACCAAACAGTGACCCCTCACTGTACCACCACCCACATCACACCAAACTGTGACCCCTCCTTGTACCACCCACATCACACCAAACGGTGACCCCTCCTTGTACCACCACCCACATCACACCAAACGGTGACCCCTCCTTGTACCACCCACATCACACCAAACAGTGACCCCTCACTGTACCACCACCCACATCACACCAAACTGTGACCCCTCCTTGTACCACCCACATCACACCAAACGGTGACCCCTCCTTGTACCACCCACATCACACCAAACAGTGACCCCTCCTTGTACCACCACCCACATCACACCAAACAGTGACCCCTCCTTGTACCACCCACATCACACCAAACAGTGACCCCTCCTTGTACCACCACCCACATCACACCAAACAGTGACCCCTCCTTGTACCACCCACATCACACCAAACGGTGACCCCTCCTTGTACCACCACCCACATCACACCAAACAGTGACCCCTCCTTGTACCACCACCCACATCACACCAAACAGTGACCCCTCCTTGTACCACCCACATCACACCAAACGGTGACCCCTCCTTGTACCACCACCCACATCACACCAAACAGTGACCCCTCACTGTACCACCCACATCACACCAAACGGTGACCCCTCCTTGTACCACCACCCACATCACACCAAACGGTGACCCCTCCTTGTACCACCCACATCACACCAAACGGTGACCCCTCCTTGTACCACCACCCACATCACACCAAACAGTGACCCCTCCTTGTACCACCCACATCACACCAAACGGTGACCCCTCCTTGTACCACCACCCACATCACACCAAACAGTGACCCCTCCTTGTACCACCACCCACATCACACCAAACAGTGACCCCTCCTTGTACCACCACCCACATCACACCAAACAGTGACCCCTCCTTGTACCACCCACATCACACCAAACAGTGACCCCTCCTTGTACCACCACCCACATCACACCAAACGGTGACCCCTCCTTGTACCACCACCCACATCACACCAAACAGTGACCCCTCCTTGTACCACCCACATCACACCAAACGGTGACCCCTCACTGTACCCCCCTCATCACACCAAACAGTGACCCCTCACTGTACCACCCACATCACACCAAACAGTGACCCCTCCTTGTACCACCCACATCACACCAAACAGTGACCCCTCACTGTACCACCCACATCACACCAAACAGTGACCCCTCCTTGTACCACCCACATCACACCAAACGGTGACCCCTCCTTGTACCACCACCCACATCACACCAAACAGTGACCCCTCCTTGTACCACCACCCACATCACACCAAACAGTGACCCCTCCTTGTACCACCACCCACATCACACCAAACTGTGACCCCTCCTTGTACCACCACCCACATCACACCAAACAGTGACCCCTCCTTGTACCACCACCCACATCACACCAAACAGTGACCCCTCCTTGTACCACCCACATCACACCAAACGGTGACCCCTCCTTGTACCACCACCCACATCACACCAAACAGTGACCCCTCCTTGTACCACCCACATCACACCAAACAGTGACCCCTCCTTGTACCACCCACATCACACCAAACAGTGACCCCTCCTTGTACCACCACCCACATCACACCAAACAGTGACCCCTCCTTGTACCACCACCCACATCACACCAAACAGTGACCCCTCCTTGTACCACCCACATCACACCAAACAGTGACCCCTCCTTGTACCACCCACATCACACCAAACAGTGACCCCTCCTTGTACCACCCACATCACACCAAACAGTGACCCCTCCTTGTACCACCACCCACATCACACCAAACAGTGACCCCTCCTTGTACCACCACCCACATCACACCAAACAGTGACCCCTCCTTGTACCACCCACATCACACCAAACAGTGACCCCTCCTTGTACCACCACCCACATCACACCAAACAGTGACCCCTCCTTGTACCACCACCCACATCACACCAAACAGTGACCCCTCATTGTACCACCACCCACATCACACCAAACGGTGACCCCTCCTTGTACCACCACCCACATCACACCAAACAGTGACCCCTCCTTGTACCACCACCCACATCACACCAAACAGTGACCCCTCCTTGTACCACCACCCACATCACACCAAACAGTGACCCCTCCTTGTACCACCCACATCACACCAAACAGTGACCCCTCCTTGTACCACCACCCACATCACACCAAACAGTGACCCCTCCTTGTACCACCACCCACATCACACCAAACAGTGACCCCTCATTGTACCACCACCCACATCACACCAAACGGTGACCCCTCCTTGTACCACCACCCACATCACACCAAACAGTGACCCCTCCTTGTACCACCACCCACATCACACCAAACAGTGACCCCTCCTTGTACCACCCACATCACACCAAACAGTGACCCCTCCTTGTACCACCACCCACATCACACCAAACAGTGACCCCTCCTTGTACCACCCACATCACACCAAACAGTGACCCCTCCTTGTACCACCCACATCACACCAAACTGTGACCCCTCATACTACCCTCATCATATAAAACTTTGACCCCTAATACCACCTTAACATCAAACGGTGACCCCTCGTACCACCCACATCGCATCAAACCATGACCCCTCATTGTACCACCCTCATCACACCAAACAGTGACCCCTCATTGTACCACCCTCATCACACCAAACAGTGACCCCTCCTTGTACCACCACCCACATCACACCAAACAGTGACCCCTCCTTGTACCACCCACATCACACCAAACAGTGACCCCTCCTTGTACCACCACCCACATCACACCAAACAGTGACCCCTCCTTGTACCACCCACATCACACCAAACAGTGACCCCTCCTTGTACCACCACCCACATCACACCAAACAGTGACCCCTCATTGTACCACCCACATCACACCAAACAGTGACCCCTCCTTGTACCACCACCCACATCACACCAAACAGTGACCCCTCCTTGTACCACCACCCACATCACACCAAACAGTGACCCCTCCTTGTACCACCCTCATCACACCAAACAGTGACCCCTCCTTGTACCACCACCCACATCACACCAAACAGTGACCCCTCCTTGTACCACCACCCACATCACACCAAACAGTGACCCCTCCTTGTACCACCCACATCACACCAAACAGTGACCCCTCCTTGTACCACCCACATCACACCAAACAGTGACCCCTCCTTGTACCACCACCCACATCACACCAAACAGTGACCCCTCCTTGTACCACCCACATCACACCAAACAGTGACCCCTCCTTGTACCACCACCCACATCACACCAAACAGTGACCCCTCCTTGTACCACCCACATCACACCAAACAGTGACCCCTCCTTGTACCACCCACATCACACCAAACAGTGACCCCTCCTTGTACCACCACCCACATCACACCAAACAGTGACCCCTCATTGTACCACCACCCACATCACACCAAACAGTGACCCCTCCTTGTACCACCACCCTCATCACACCAAACAGTGACCCCTCCTTGTACCACCACCCACATCACACCAAACAGTGACCCCTCCTCGTACCACCCACATCACACCAAACAGTGACCCCTCCTTGTACCACCACCCACATCACATCAAACCATGACCCCTCCTTGTACCACCACCCTCATCACACCAAACAGTGACCCCTCCTTGTACCACCCACATCACACCAAACAGTGACCCCTCCTTGTACCACCACCCACATCACACCAAACAGTGACCCCTCCTTGTACCACCACCCACATCACACCAAACAGTGACCCCTCCTTGTACCACCCACATCACACCAAAAAGTGACCCCTCCTTGTACCACCACCCACATCACACCAAACAGTGACCCCTCCTTGTACCACCACCCACATCACACCAAAAAGTGACCCCTCCTTGTACCACCCACATCACAACAAACAGTGACCCCTCCTTGTACCACCCACATCACACCAAACAGTGACCCCTC